AAAAAAAAATAGGTACATTATTTGGAGAGAAAAAATAAGTTCATTTAGAAAAAATAGGTTCATTAAAAAAAATGTTTTTCAAAAAACAAATAATAAATAGATTATCAAATTATTTTTCAACATAATTAGAATGTACACTATTATTCATAAAACTATAATAAAATAGAATACTAGTCGTATAATTCATAAAAGGAAAACAACATTAATTCCTAAATTTAATATTAAATTTAAATTACTAATAAGTTAAATAGATTACTGGTCGTAATTCATAAAAGGAAAACAACATTAATTCAAAAATAGATTACTAGTCGTAAATAGATTACTAATACTTTAATATGGAATTTAATATTTAATTTCAAATAAGTTTCTAAATTAATTCCTACATCCATTATAACTATTTGGAGATCTTTTCAAATTCAACGTGTGTCATTAGTTACACCCCCTCATAACACAATAACTTATAAATAGGGGTAGGTTTGGAATCCGAAAAATACAATAAATCAGATTTTAAGTTATATTAGGTAACTTGCTTAGTTGGATCCTAGTCATCGGGTATTATTTGAAAAATTTGGGTATTTTAAATAGAAAACTAAAGGAAAGGGTTGTAGGTGATTTAAAATGAATTTTATGGGTCTAAGCTCAATTTACTAGTATTTTATACTAGAAGTTGTGAATCACTTTTTTGCAGTGGTTCGTTCAAGTCATGGAATACCTACCAAGCCCACATGTACTGCTATTTCCACATGTACTACCATTAAGCGTGTATGGTGTTAGGCATGACTATATGAGCTAGTAATCATAACATTTTTGAAGTGCTTTAGATGGCTTTTGGGATCGTAATCCCCTTTGAAGTGTGTGAAAGAAGACGTTGAGAATCGCTTGGGGAGAGCAGCCTGCTCGATTTCGGCGATGAATGGTGGGAAGTTTGCTTGGTGCCTTTCTTTTGGGAGCTTTGTGTTCAGGTGCTGCTATGTATGTTGGGATGTGGGTTTCAGTTCGTGCCAACATTCGAGTCTCTAGTGCTGCAAGACGGTCTGCAAGGGAGGCATTGCAGGCAGCCACACCACCAAAGCCGACCTTGGGGTGGGCAAGAGGGGCCTTGGCCATGGGCCTCCAATTAATGGGCCCAAATTATATTAATATATATACTATTATCCAATTTATTAAAAAAAAAATAGAAACAACATGCAATTAAGTTAGGTTTCTTCGTTTCCTCTTCACAGAAGGTTTCTTCCGAAGAAATAGAAACAACACGTGCGGAAGGCAATTCCTCTCCTAGTTAATTTCTCCATGGAAGAACTCTATTTAATCCACCCATCTCTTAATAATCCACCACCATATTTTCCCCATCTCTCTTCAATCCATCCATTATTTTCAGTTTCTCTGATCCTTTTTTTCTCATATCATATTGTGACCCTAAGAATCAATCTCACACTAAAAAGCTCACAAATTGTCTTTGAGATTGATGGTGACCAAGAGGGGAGGAACATCTGAACATGAGAAATTGAAAAGGTAATCAAATTTATAATATTTTTATATATATATTTGTTCCTATCCATCAAACTATTTTTTCGATTTCCAGATTATACAGAAACAATGACTTTGCTGTTAAGAGACTTAAACTCTGCTTTATAATTGACCAGGTATGATTATGCTCTATAATTGTTTATCGTAAAATCATTATTCATGCGCTCTATGTAAAATCATTTTATTTGTTATTTTTTCACAATTATATACTAAGGGAAGAGGCCTCATTTAGTTTATCGCCTAGGGCCATCCAAAAGTTAGGGCGGGCCCTGCACACCACCATTGACGCCCACCCTCCCCACCCAGCCATTAGACCCTTGGCGACGACCTCCCTACACAGAGCATCTTCGAAATCTCCGCCAATCTTCAAGTCTCGAAGCCGGTTATTCACAAGTTTCTCGATAATCGTGTTTGGGCCATGCCCTACCCACTACTAGAAAAACTCCATATAAACCACGGATATACTCATGGCTAATTTTACACTTAGCCATAAACAATCCGTCGCTATGGGTATTGACCACGAATTGGCCACAAATCACCAAACCGTGGTTCAAGCATGGTGTTGCCAATACTTTATGACACGGCAACCAACGAGTCGTGGCTTATAAAGTGTAGGTCCTACCATATTTTCTCACTCTTACAAAACTGTATCTCCAATTTATTAAAGTATAAATACTTTTTAAGGTGTCAATCATTACCAAATGATAGAGAACTAGTTAATATATATAGTTCTAAATTTTTTTTATAAAAAAATCGGTGGCCAATCTCTGCCAATTTATTTCAGATTAATGTAAATAATAATATATAATGGATGTGCCACTGTAACCGTGGCTATACCTTGTAATAATTTATAATGTTTTAGGGTGTGTGTGTACGTTTTTTTAAATTGCCAGGTCGAGTTATTAGGAATTATCTAAGTAATGCTACTCTTATCACATTTTCATACTATCTTATGTGGCAGATGAGGTGGACAACTATATCAATTAAAAATAATTTAACATTTTCTTTTCTTTTATGATTTATTGACACTTTTTAATTGATGTGGATGTACACCTCATATGCCACATAAGGTGGTATGGGAAGAGTTTTTATCAAAAATAGTCAAAATTTATCCCCCATTTTCATAAATGTCAGTTTTTATAAAAACTTTTACATATAGCAGAAAACCCACTCCAATAGACCAAATTACCATCAGAATAAAAAACTTTCCCATATCTTGCAATTTTTTTTCTCTGTACCTTCACTACTACAAAAAGGGCAAAAGACGACCAGAAAAAGACGACGGTAGAACAAAAAACCGTCGTTGTTTTTTAAAAGACGACAGTAACAAAAAACCGTCGTGGATAAGTGACTTAAACAACTAAAAAATGGAGATATTGTTGAGAATTTTTTTATAACGACGCACACAAATAAAAAAGCGTCGTCTTATTAAAAAGCTTTTCTTCAGAGTTAAAATTTGACCAAAAAACAACGACAGCAGGTATGACAAGCGTCGTCTTTTAAAAATCAAGTGTCCTTTTTTTGGTAAAGACAAGGTTGTTTTGAAAGAACTGTCGTCTATTATATGTAAAGATGACGGTTTTTTTTATAAAAACCA